TAACAGTATCTGAGAGTAGCCAATTCTCCACAACCTTGCTTGGGATATATAATTCTTTTTTAATTTTAAGATATCACTTGTCTACCTAGTTGGATAAAAAGGGGCCACATGCTAACCTGACTAACTCAGGGAAGGCCTGCATGGCAGCCTTGTAAACACAGATACTTAAAGTTAACCAAAGAAGTGGGGGAGGGAAGGGGGGAGTCATATGTAAAACTTTAGACAATAACAAAATAAAGTTAACCACAAAGAATGATCTGAAGTTAAACTTCTTTAAGCTAAAAAGCAGTTTATGGTGGGTAGTCATGTCCTAGGCCAGTATCTTCCCTGACAAAGGTCAATCTTTTTTTTAATATATTTTATTGATTTTTTACAGAGAGAAAGGGAGAGGGATAGAGAGTTAGAAACATCGATGAGAGAGAAACATCGATCAGCTACCTCCTGCACATGTCCCACTGGGGATGTGCCCACAACCAAGGTACATGCCCTTGACCGGAATCGAACCTGGGACCTTTCAGTCCGCAGACTGACGCTCTATCCACTGACCCAAACCGGTGCTGGCCAAAGGTCAATCTTTACCTTCACTGAGACTATTATCTCGTTGAGTCTACAATAATATATGGCTGGAATGTCAAAGTAATTTTCCTTTTTCCGGACCCCTCAAAGCACAGGCACTGCTCTGGGGAGACCACAAATCCCCACACTGTTATTGTTGAGTGTTAATTATCCTGCACCCACCTAAATAGAAGAAGTATACGTTTATCATTTTACTCTTTATCCGCTCCCAGAGGTTCCCCCTCCTGTTCTCCTGCCTCCCTAATTTATCACCAATGGATTTCACCTAACTCACATCTTCTCTTTTAATTGTAATGTATAAAACAAGATGCAAAACTGCCATTCATTGAGATCCTGCTCCACGGCATTGTGGACAGTTTGGCTCAAATAAACTCACAAAAACTCTTCACAGGTTTGAATGTTCCTTACATTGACACTAGATAAGTTAGAGACAGATTAAGTGGTCAATTTCACTGCTTTTATGGTCAGACGGACTTGACTTCTATCTTGGTTTTGCCATTTGCTGTGTGCTAATTCAGTCACTTTAAGTGATACTGTCGTGGCAAGTTTACACTTGGAGTCTATAGGAACATATTCACAGAGAGATTCAGTAGGCTTTTTATCATTATAACAGAACTGGGGACCAATAGCAGCCACTAAATAGTTCATTATGCTTCCTGAATGTGTCAGGGGTTGGGTTGATCCCACGTTAAAAGTTTAACAGGGTCACATTTCCCAAGAAGATAACGAGAACACACAGCTGAAAGTATGGCATACTATTTCAACAGATTCTGTTGTGGAGAATAAGACAGAAAAAAAAAGGGGGGGGGCTATTTGTAATTAATCAGGCTGGGCATTTTTAACGTTTAGATTCCGACGGGTTAAAATCCACCACATCCAGGACTGGATCATGCAATGTTCGGTCGGTTGGGGATTATCGACGGGCGGATTTCTGCCAGGAAACTACGGTCAAGAAGTGACTCTTGGAAGAAAAACACCA